GCTGGGGGTCTGGGGATCCAGTTTTGCGTCTCACAGCTGGCGGTTTTCTTTGCCTGGTTCGGGGACCCCAGACCACTGCTCGAGACATGCCGCAGGATGTTGGGGTCCAAACAGGGCTCGGGTCGATGTCTCGGGGGCGGCCCAGAAGGGGTTGATGACTAGGGGTGGTGAGGGGGCTGTGATATCTTCTGAGGTGTCATGGCGTCTCTTCTTATCTCAATGCGCCCCCCGCCCCCCCTGGGCCGCGCACGTGCCGCCGGCCATGCTTTGCGCCCCCCCCTCTTTCACCGAGCGCGCTCCACAACTTGCAGAGCGCCTACTCGCAAACCTACAAACAACAAAAAAACAGGTGTTGGCTTCGATGAGATGTATCACAGATCCCCCGCGCCGGACCCAAGCCATGGGCCATTTGCGAGTAGGCACTCTGCGAGTATACTCGCAGAGTACCTACTCGTCCACTCTTGAACGGCCACTGTAGTGGAACGCGCTGGTCCACTCTGGATCGGCCCCCTGCTGGACGCCCCCGGATGTTGCTGCTCTTGTTTGTGCTCGTCCACTCTTGAACGAGTAGGTACTCTGCGAGTATGTGCTCTGCGAGTAGGTACTCTGCGAGTAGTGGAACGCGCTCGTCCACTCTGGAACGGCCCCCTGCTGGACGCCACCCGAGTGTTGCTCTTCTTTTGTTTGTGCCGCAGCTGGTCGTACTGGGGAGCATCCGACGCCCGCCCGCCTCCGCCCCGGCCTCCGCTGCCGCTCGCCCACGCGCTCGCCCGCTCGCCCCCCTGGTTTTTGGTTCAGTCCCGCAAAGTTATATATATGCATACATTTGTATATGTATGTTTACACATATATATATACTTACACCTTTTAAAATGTAGATTGTATCGATTGTTTTGTTTATATCCGTAAGGGCTTCGCCCCCTGCCGCCGGCCCCCTCTCTCGGAGAATGGGCCATGGAAGAGCTAAGTCATGAGGCCTTGGCGCTGTCGTGAAGCAGTATCGAAACTTCATGCGAAGCCGATTCGCAATCAGCAAAACCAACTGATCACAAGAGGGGTTACCACACCTGGCGATTGGTAAGACGTGTATGGTTTACGGGCTTGGTTACCACACCTTGCGATTAAAGGGCCGAGGGAGTTCTCGCAGTTTGGGTTACCACGCCTTGCGATGGATGTGCGTGAAGGGTGGCACCGAATTTCAGAAATGTGGCAAATCCCATGTGTTTTTGGACCCTGACCCCGCGGATCTGCGCAAGGGGTGGCGCCGAATTTCAGAAATGTGGCACATCCCCTGTGTTTTTGGACCCTGACCCCGCGGATTTGCGTGAGGGGTGGCACCGCATTTCAGAAATGTAGTAAATCCTTCGTGTTTTTGGACCCTGACCCCGCGGATCTGCGTAAGGGGTGGCGCCGAATTTCATAAATGTAGCAAATCCCTCGTGTTTTTGGACCCTGACCCTGCGGATCTGCGTGAGGGGTGGCACGGAACCATAAATGTAGCAAATCCCTCGTGTTTTTGGACCCTGACCCCGCGGATCTGCGTGAGGGGTGGCACCGAATTTCAGAAATGTGGCAATCCCCATATGTTTTTGGACTCTGACCCCGCGGATCTGCGTGAGGGGTGGCACCGAATTTCAGAAATGTGGCAAATCCCCTGTGTTTTTGGACCCTAACCCCGCGGATCTGCGTGAGGGGTGGCACCGAATTTCAGAAATGTGGCAAATCCCTTGTGTTTTTGGACCCTAACCCAGTGGATCTGCGTGAGCGGTGGCACCGAATTTCAGAAATGTCGCAAATCCCCTATGTTTTTGGACCCTGACCCCGCGGATCTGCGTGAGGGGTGGCACCGAATTTCAGAAATGTGGCAAATCCCATGTGTTTTTGGACCTGACCCCGCGGATCTGCGTGAGGGGTGGCACCGAATTTCAGAAATGTTGCACATCCCCTGTGTTTTTGGACCCTGACCCCGCGGATCTGCGTGAGGGGTGTCGATTTCGAGCCCCCCCAGCAATTCAGACAACGCGCCCATGAGACGCTAAAAATCCCGTTTGGGCCTCCCCCCCCCTCGCGCGGTCAATCAACTAGTTACAGTAACCAGCAAGAAGCAGACCTGTAACACTGGAAACTACAAGCTACCACTGGTACAGGAAACTGCGAATCACGGGCCTACAGCCTGGTGGCCCCACAAGGGGGCCGGCGGATTTGGGCCTCATGCCTGGAGGATCGAAATGGGCATGAAGAGAAAGAGTGGCGCAGATCGACGCAGCCCCTGTCCGGTTTGAACAGGCATCGCTGCCGGTGTCGCCTCAGTCGGTCCCTTGGAGACGACAACCTGCCTGCCCAACAGTGACTGCAGTCGGAGTTGGGCAACATCTGTTGTTGGGCATCGTGTCCTTTTGTTCTTTTCTGTACACATCTCGGGCGTCCAAATCATGGGGCCCATTTTTCGGGCCCCGGGACCATCGGGAATGAATACGGGGCGAACCTAACCCATGGGAAGCGGTCGGGACCTCCTTTGGGCTGCGGACTTGGGACACATGTAAAATCCCTTGGATGCTTGGGGACTTGCCGCCCCGCCTCCTCCTCGTGGGCCCGCGCCCAGTCAAGAGAGGAAAAACCAACCAGACCCGATTTTTGGCGTTTATTGCGCGGCCCCGGGCGTTTACCAAACAGCCCATGCCCTGTTCGATTCCTGTTTGCGGAACGGCCTCGCGCGTGGGGGTGATGATTAAGCGGAACGGCCTCGCGCGTCGGGGTGATGATTGAGCTGTGAGGGGGGACCTTCTTCTCTCCACCCAGGGCCCGGAACGCCTCGCCGATCGACATCGACGCCGAGTGGGCCGAGTGGGCCATAGGGGAACAAAAAGCGGCATAAACATAAAAACTCGGAGGCCCGCGCGGATTTCTCGGATCGGCGCTGGGGCCCCCCGGCGGTGCCTCCGGCGCCGCCCCTGGCGCGCTCCGCGCGCCAGCGAGGGGGGTCCAGCGCCGATCCGAGAAATCCGCGCGGACCTCCGAGTTTTTATGTTTATATGCCACTTTTTGTTCCCCCGGGCCAGCAAGAACCCTGCGGTGGCCCAGCGCCTCCGCGACTGCCGCGCGGCCGCCGTGCCCGCGGCGGGCCCCGCCGACGTGCCCGCCGCCCGCGCACTGCCTGCATCGGCGGCGCCCGGCGCTGCCGCGGCGGCCTGGCGCCGCGCTGCGGCCGCCGCGGCTGGCGCTGCGGCCGCTGCGGCCGCCCCGGCGCTGGCTGAGCGCCCGGCAGCTGCGCGCGGCAGCTGCGCGCGGCTGGAGGTCTCGAGCAGTGGCTCACGAGGAGGCAGAGGTACACCCATACCTCGACCCCCCCCGCCCGTGTTCCCCTTTTTGGGCCTCCTGGGCGGCCCTCGTCGCCACCACTGGATTCGCCTCGAAGTCCTGGTCAGAACGCACCCCAGGAGAGGTCCGGGGAGTAACGGCATCGGTGCCTTTTGGGTTCCCCAGTGGCGGAACGTCCTGGCTTGCCTGCCGGCCCACCAAGGAGTCTTCTGAGGTCCTTTCGGTGGTCTGCGCGAAACGCTCTTAGAACAGTTCTTTCAGAGGCTGTCGTGTTTTCATTCGTCGGGAAATATGTGTGCTGAAAAGCGTGTTTTGTTATAAGAACATCGATGGGTTCTAGGAGCATGGGAAAATGCTTTGTTTTGTCTATAGGAATGCCGGGACGGTCGGTCCCTGTTTCATGGAGGTCTCGCCCGCCGCGTGCCCCACGCCCCTGTTCCTGGCCGCGCGCGCGGCGATCGAGGAGGTGCGCGCCCCCGCGGCGTCGGCCGCGCCGCCAGGGCTGGCGCCCGCTAGCGCGCGCTGCCCGCCACGGCGCTCGCTCTCGGAGGCGCGCGCGGGCGTGTCCACGCCAGCGCCCGCGGAGCCACCGCGGCTGGGCGCCAGGGCTCTGTCCGCAGGGCTGCCGCTGCTGCAGGGCCAGCACGAGTTCCCGCGGCAGTCGCCACGGCAGCAGCCGCAGCTGCATCCACAGCAGCAGAGTCGCCAGCAGCAGCGGCACGGCACCGAGTGCCAGCAGCACCGCCGTGGCCACTACCGTCAGTTTGTCCAGCCACGGCTAAAGCACGGAAATGTGCACGCCCTCGGCCAGTGCAATCGGTCGCCGTTGCCGCCGCTGCAGCAACCTTGCCAGCCTGTGCAGCACAGCAATTTGTTACAAGACACACTTCAGAACCGGGGACACTTTTTGGGTCAACAGCAGCAGCCTTGCCCGAATCGCTCCCAAAGCCCGCATCAACAGTGCCACCACCAGCAGAACTGGCAGCACCATCAGTGCGAGCAGTCTCAGCCATGCCGGCTACCATCGTCGCATGTTTGCTTGCGCCAAGCAGGCGAGCCACATAAGCATATACCGGAACAGCTGCATGATCAGCCTCAGCCGCAGCAACCACTACTGACTGTCAGCGCGGTCGCTGCTTCCGACCGCGTCGATGGCTGCGGCGCTCCCGGCATGGCCGACCGAGCCCAGCAGGCTGCCCTTCAGGCCTCGCTACCTGGGATTTCGACGCTGGTGCCTCTCCCGCGCTCGGAGGCGCCCCGCGATTGTAGCACAGCCAGCAGCAGCAGCAGCAGCAGCAGCAGCAGCAGCAGCAGCCCCCTTGGCCGCGGCCGCACCAGCGGCAGCGGTAGCACCGGCGGCAGCAGCTGCAGCCACGGCCCGCTGGCCCCGGGCCCCGTCTCGCCGCGTGCCCCGCGCGCGGGCGCGGCTGCCCTCCGTGGCCGCAGTGCTGCCAGTGGCGCCGGCGCCGCCGCGGGCGCGGTGGCGCTCAGGGGCGCCCACGATGCCGGCAGCGGCGGCCTCCGCGCCGCCAGCGCCGCGGCGGACTTCTGCGCCGGCCTGCCAGAGCGCTCCGCTCGCCGGCGCCCCAGGAGCGCACAGGCCCGCGAGGGGCCGCCGATCCCCGGGGGCCCTGCCGGGCAGCGGCGGTCGTCGCACGCGACCGCGCAGCGGGCCGCCAGAGGCCGAGCACCGCGAGGGGCCTTCAGCCGAGCAGCAGCAGCCGCAGGGCGGTGGGAGCGACGAGCTCGGCTGCAGCGGCGGAGGCACCGAGCAGCCCGAGCAAGCGGCAGAGCCCGAGGCCCGCGGTGGTGCGGAGCTGCCCGGCGAGGCGGCGGAGCCCGCCGAGGTGGGCGCCGAGTGTGCCCCGGCCGCCCCGCGCGCCGCAGGTCGCGGCCAGGGCTCGCCAGGGGCCGCCGGGGAGGCGGCCCGCGCCTCGGACTGCTCCTCGCCAGGGGCCCTGGCGGCCCGCACGCCGCAGTCCTCGTCGCCGAGGGGCGCCGGCGAGGTCCGCGCGGCCCGGGGCGGCGGCGAGGGCGGCGGCGCGGGGCCTCCGCTGCTGTCTGAAGCCTGGCCCTGGCCGCACCCGGAGCCGCCGCGTCCAGGGCCGGCGCGGCCGTCGCGCCCTGTGCCGGGCGCGGCGCCCTGCGCAGGCAGCGAGGCCACAGCGTGGTCCGAGGAGCTTAGCTGCCCTGATGCGCCCGTTTTGACACGCCGCACGTGCTGTGTTCAAAACGTGCGCGTGAGCACGCTGCGTGTCGGCACGCTGCGTGCTGGCTCGGCACGTGCTGGCCCACGTTCTGGCGAACGCCTCGCGCCAGACGTAAATATACGCTGGCCATCTCCGTGCTCGAGCTGCGTGTCGACACGCTGCGGGCTGCGCGCTGCGCATCGGGGCGGCTCGGGCCGAGGAGCTGGCGGCCGCCCACGCCGCCTCGCTGGGGCTGGCGTGCCTCCCGCGCGAGGAGGGCCTGCAGTGCCTGCTGCAGCAGGTCTTCTCGTGGGCCCCGCTGCCCACTGCCTGGTCGGCGCGCCGAGGCTCCGCGTTCGGGGCCCTGGAGGGAAGCCAGTCGTCGGCGAACGCCGAGCCCTGCCGCAGGCAGTGGCGAAACGTCCTGGCCTGCCTATGGGCCTACCAAGCAGTGTTCTAATAACCTTTTTTGTGGTTTCCACGAGATGTTCTTGGAACATTTCTGGCCGGGACCGTCCTGTTTTAACACATCGGGTGCATGCTCTAAGAGCATTGCTTCTTGTTGTTCGAACATTTTGGGTTCTAAGAACATTCCGTGGTAGGCCTATAGGAATGCCGGGACGGTCGGTCCCTGCTCAATTACCCTCACCGATCAACCACTCGGGCAACTCGATGGGCGGCGGGGGTACGGTCGGGCCGAGGCATAAGATCGGGGTCGGGTCGGGGAAGGTACCGTACCCTACCGTTCTTCATGCTTGTTGTGTGCTCTTGTGCATCCTCGGGGAGGGCCACCTCGAAGGTTCTTCAGTTTGGCCGGCGGAGTGTCTCATGTTCTTGGAGGGCGTTCTTCTGTCCCAGGTCCGGCCGGAGGGTTCGGAACTCGTCGAACACGCGGCGACATCCGAACCCTACCCGGGCCTCTCATCGATTCAGGAGCGCCGATGTTCGGTGGGGGTGCGGTGGGGGCGTTGGTTGAGGAATGCGCCCAGGAGGCTGCAGACCCTGGAGGATTCCTTGTCTGATGAGGGCGGCGGTATGATGACCATGGCCAAGCCTCGACTGGAGTTCCACCGTCCTCCAGACCCTGGATTCCTTGTCCAAGAGTTCCCCACCCAATGCGCCCACCCACGCCGTCCGTAGCCATTTTGGCTCATGCCTTGTGTCTCGCCTGCTTCGGGCGCTCGCGGGACCGCACGGGATGGGATGACTACGGGCGGGGGCCCAGTGGCCCAGGGAGGTTCCCCCGCCGCCCGCGCTCGGAGCGCGGCGAGACGGCGCGGCGGGCGCGGGCGGCTTCCGATGCTGCGGTGCGGCGCGCCCTCGCTTGCGCCGCTGGGCTCGAGGAGCAGCTGGCGGCCGCGGTGGAGGCGCTGGAAGCGGTAGTCGGCGATGCTGCCCTGGCTGGCCGCCTGGCCGCGGTGCTCCCTGCGCTGCGCCAGCTGGTCCGCGGCGGGCAGCCCACGTGGCTTCACGCGAAGGCTCCCCCCATCGTCGGCCGCATTGCTGACGCGTCGGCGCCGGAGCTCTGGGCAGCGCAGAAGGCTGGGCGCGTCGGCGCGGCCACCGGCCGCTGGCTGGCCCTGCCTGCAACGTGCACATGCGGTGCGGTGGTATTCTCCTGCTCCGCCAGGGCTGCCGCAGTTTCCTCGTGGGAGACGAGGTCTGCGAACGCCGAGCTCCTGGGGTACACGGCTTGGGTCGGCCTCCCAGCGGCAGCGCTGGTGCCGAAGCGCGAGCCGCGGTACAAGCAGTCATTCGTGCGCCTGGCCGAGCGGCCTGGCACCCAGGAGTACGCGGAGTGGGTGAGCCTCCCCGCGGCGCTGCTGCCGACGCGCGCTGCTAGGAGAGTGCAGCCGTTCGTTCGTCGGGTCGTCAAGCTCCCTGAGGCGGAGGCGTGGGGAGACGTCGATCGCCGATCTGATTCAGAGGGGCTCGGGCAGGAGCCCCCGGGCCGTGGTGTGCTGGCGGGGTGCTCTGGCCCGGCGGCCCCAGCGCATTCGGAGGCCGATTTAACAGCGCAGGTCGTCTTGCAGGGGCAGAGAATTGACATTCTGAGGCCGGCTGCCGACTATTTCGCGGATCTCGTGCGCGAAGTGCGTGAGTTTCGCCTCAGTCCGCAGGATGTCGATGCGATCGAGTCGTTTTCGTTGATGGGGGAGGCGGCGATCATCGACGCTTTGGAGGCGAAAGGGAAAGCGACGCTCGTGGACTTGATGAAGGAAGAGGACACTGCGGCGTTGGTGCTCGACGGGCTGGGTGTGCTCGGAGGTGCAGGCAGAGGCACGGTGTTCGAGCCGCATGCCACGTCGCAGGAAAGGGAGGAGCTGGCGGAGGCCATGAAGCCTCAGCGGATGAATCGTGTCCGTCGCATGTGTGCGGCGTTGTGGCTGGCTCGCAAGGCGGAGCGGTGCTAGCTCCCAGGGTGCAGTGAGTGGCAGCTGCGCGGAATGCCACCCTGTGTCGAACGCGTGCGTGCAAGGGTCCGCCCGCTAAGTGATAACAGTGCCCTCACCACAGGCTTCGGATGCCGTCACCTGGCTCTCGGGCGTGTCCCTCTACAGGAGGAATATGGAACAATAGTTTTTAATATAAAAACACACAGCGATTTTCTGCTAATTTGACCATTTTTGATGTGTTCCTGCTTTTTTGTTCGTCTCCCAAAATCGGCCTGTAGGGGGACATGCCCGGCTTAAACCTGGCTCGGCTTTGTGGGGGCAGGCGAGAGCCGCCCCTGTCTCTCCGCGGCGGCGGCCCGTAGGGGCGCGAATAGAGAGAGAGAGAGAGAGGGAGAGAGAGGGAGAGAGAGAGAGAAAAAAAAACAAGAGAGAGAGAGAGAGAGAGCCGCGCGGCGCGCTACCTAGAAGGGTTCTTACTCTCTTAGCTTAAAGGGGCCGGGCAGTGCAAAGCGCCCCGGGCGGTTCCCCAAGTCCCCTGGGAGCGGTTCCCCCCAGTCCCCTGGGAGCTTTAGCTTTAGCTTTATCTTTAGCTTAGCTTTAGCTTAGCTTTAGCTTAGCTGTAGCTTAGCTTTAGCTTAGCGTTTCGCTTAGCTTTTCGCTTAGCGTTTAGCTTAGCTTTAGCTTAGCGTTAGCTTAACTTTAGCTTAGCTTGAGCTTAGCTGTAGCTTAGCTTTAGCTTATATTTAGCTTAGCGTTAGCTTAGCTTTAGTTTAGCCTTAGCTTAGCTTTAGCTTAGCTTTAGCTTAGCTTTAGCTTAGCTTTAGCTTAGCTTTAGCTTAACTGTAGCTTAGCTGTAGCTTAGCTTTAGCTTAGCGGCTGCTCAGCTTTAGCTTAGCTTTAGCTTTGCTTTAGCTTAGTTCTAGCTTAGCTTTAGCTTAGCTTTAGCTTAGCTTTAGCTTAGCTTTAGCTTAGCGCTACTGTTACTACTAATTCTGCTTTCCTAGGGGTTCCAACTCCTAGGTAGGGTCGCACTGGGATAATCACTTTTTCCCTACATAGGCTCTGCCTAGAAGGGTTCTTACTCTCTTAGCTTAAAGGGGCGGGCAGTGCAAAGCGCCCCGGGCGGTTCCCCCAGTCCCCGCCCCGCGGTTCCCCCAGTCCCCTGAGAGCTTTAGCTTTAGCTTTAGCTTTAGCTTTAGCTTAGCTTTAGCTTAGCTTTAGCTTTAGCTTTAGCTTAGCTTTAGCTTAGCGTTTCGCTTAGCTTTAGCTTAGCTTTAGCTTAGTTCTAGTTTAGCTTGAGCTTAGCTGTAGCTTAGCTTTAGCTTAGCTTTAGCTTAGCTTTAGCTTAACTTTAGCTTGGCTTTAGCTTAGCTTTAGCTTTAGCTTTAGCTTAGCTGTAGCTTAGCTTCAGCTTAGTTTTAGCTTAGCTTCAGCTTAGCTTTAGCTTAGCTTAGCTTCAGCCTAGCTTCAGCTTAGCTTTAGCTTAGCTTTAGCTTAGCTGTACCCTAGCTGTACCTTACCTTTAGATTTAGATTAGCTTTAGCTTAGCTTTAGCTTGGCTTTAGCTTAGCTGCACCTTAGCTTTAGCTTAGCTTTAGCTTAGCTTTAGCTTAGTTTCAGCTTAGCTTTAGCTTAGCGTTTACCGTAGCTTTAGCTTAGCGTTAACTTAGCTTTAGCTTAGCAGTTACCGTAGCTTTAGCTTAGCTTTAGCTTAGGTTTAGCTTTTCTGCACCTTAGCTTTAGGTCAGGTTTAGCTTAGCGGTAGCTTAGCCTTAACTTAGCCTTAGCTTAGCTTTAGCTTAGCTTTAGCTTAGCTTCATCTTAGCTTTAGCTAGGTTTTAGCTTAGCTCTAGCTTAGCTTTAGCTTAGCTTTAGCTTAGCTTTAGCTTAGCTTTAGTTGAGTTTTAACTTAGCTTCAGCTTAGCTTTAGCTTTACTGTTACTACTAATGCTGCTTTCCTAGGGGCTCCAACTCCTATGTAGGGTCGCACTGGGATAATTTTATTTTCGGCTTCCAGTGGCCCTCACCGGCCCTCCGCGGAGCATTAAAGAATTAACGAATCGTGATGAAGGACCTTTCTTGGGGAATCGGCTGAGACCTCTGAGGGTCAACGTCATGAAAGAATCATGACGTCGGGGGTCTGGGGGAACGGGTCTCGAGGCCGGCTGTCGGGCTCCACGGTCAGCCCCCAGGCCCCAAGGGCGTCACCAGACGACTCGGGGTCCCTCGGAGAGGCCCCGAGGTCGGGGCCCGTTGCCCTCGGGACTCGCCGCCTCCCTGAGATCCTACGCCGCGCAAAATCTGCGACGTCGTTAACAAAAATTCCGCCCAGAGCCCTGGACCCCACCACTCCAGCGTGTAGCCGACCATGGAACGATCATGGCGTCGGGGGTCCGGGAACGGTGTGGTGACCACGCCGTGTGGTTGGAGCCAGCGGGGCTCAGGGCCTCCCCCGCGCCAGTTTGGGCCTCGGGCCCTCTTCTCCGAGGCCGCCTCGGGCGGCCGGGGCCTCCGGGGCCCCCAGCGCGGGACGCACCCGCGCCGGGGGAGGCCCGCCAGGGCCTCCCCGCGCGCGCGGTCCGCGCGCGCCGCCCCGCCGGCGGACCTCAGGGTTGGTCACTCAAGTCGGGCCTGTCCCTCTACAGGAGGAATGTTCAAGAGCGGTCCAAACAAAACAGTCTGGAGACAATTTTTTTGGCATGATGGGACCATTTTTGGGTCTGTTTCGGAGGTGTTCTTTATTTAATCGCTTCGCTCATTCCGCCGGCCCATACAGTCTCATGTCTGCCGTTTGCCCGAGGGCCTGGTGTCAATGCGGCGCTTTGGGGGTTCCTGGGGCCGCTTGGGGGACTCCTGGGGCGCTCGGGGGGGCATTTGGGGGGCCTCCTGGGGCCGCTTGGGGGACTCTTGGGGGCCTCCTGAGGGCCCCGTGGGGGCCTCTTGGGGCCTCTTAGGGGCCTCGTAGGGGCTTCTTAGGGCCGAGGGCTCGAAATGTTGTTTCGTGTTCCCTCTCTGGGGCCCCTTTGGGGGCGTTCTTGGGGCCCTCTTGGACCGTTTTGGAGGCTTCTTGGGCCGTCTTCGAGCCCTCTTGGGCCATCTTGGGGCCCTCTTGGGTGCCTCTTGGGCCCTCTTGGGGCGATCTTGGGGGCCTCTTGGGCCGTCTTGGGGCGTCGGGAAGCCGAAAAGGTGGAAGCTCCAAAATCTCTCAAAAACCTATGGAAAAACAATGATTTTTGCCTCCGGGGGCCCTATTGGGAGTGCTCTTGGAGGCCTCTTGGGGCGTCTGGGGGCTATCTTGGGCGTCTTGGAGCGATCTTGTGGCATGTCGGACCCCTCGTGTACCATCTTGGGGGCCTCTTGGGGGCCTCTTGGCCTTTCTTGGGGCTCTCGGGGACGTCTCGGAGCCCTGTTGGTGCGCTCATGGAGCGCTCGGGGGGACCCGGCCGGGACCTGGTCGGGGTACTTTTCGTCCGGGGACCCCCAGGGGCCGCCCCGCGCGCGCGAACTAGAAAATTGTTAACCAGTTACCGGAGATCTTAGCACGCCTCTGGCCCGTTGGGCCGGCGAATTTTTCAGCGAGGATCGGCCTGTATGCGGACAGGCCCGACCTAACCGCACACCGTGCCAGCGAGGCCCGGACGGGCTGCTGTTCCAGAACCGCGTGACGGGCGAGGCGTCGCGGGCGCACCCCCTGGAGCCATTCTTGGGGCAGCTGGCGTAGCTCGCCCGCCGCTGCCTCGCGGAGGCCCCTGGCCGCCGCGGCCGCCTGCTGGACGAGGCGCTGCAGCGGTGGGACGCGGAGGCCTTCGATCGGCGCCACCGCAGCACGCTATACAGTCAACGCGCCTGCAGTACAGTAAGGAAGGACGCGCGCCTTCATCTGGGGTGCCCTGGTGTCCTTGCTTGCTCGGGGAGGCGTCAGACTCGAGCGCGCCGGAGCTCGGGCTTGCCAACGCTTTCTGACGAGCGTGTCCCGGATTTTGACGCACTGTTCGTGGGATGTCTGCAGCGGGAGTTCGCGACAAACTTCAGATTGGGTCTCGTCATTTTCATGATGGCCCCGTCAGGCCAACCCGAGTCCCCCGTTCCCGAGTCTTACGTCTCCCCGACCTGTGCGGCCCGTCCGTCCCTTTTGCCGTTTTCGCTGGTCGCCCGCCGCCCCAAAAATCCCAGCTTTGAGCCTCCAAGCGTCTTGCATCCTCACCACCCGTCTTTCAGACACCGGGCGCGACGCGCGCGCCGAGCAATGCTGTAGCATGAGTTCCGTGGTGGGCGCCCTCTGGCCACACCCCTACTGCTGAGGGGAGCTAGATTATTTGTCACAGGACGCTTGTACTACATGTTCCGGTCGGACGGGCGCCTCCGAGGAGGCCGCCTCGTACTAGTATGTCCTTCCGAGTCCCACTCGGAGAAGCAGCAACAGAGACATACGGTCAGGAACTTTGGCTCAGCGTGCCGCGCCGCCAGTTCTGATCTACCGTGCTGCGGCGCGACACGCTGTCCACGCCGTCATTCCCAGGCGTCGACGTCCCGAGCTCTTTCCAGCCTCCCGGCCCGCGGAGTGGAGCGACGCGCTGCCCGTGGAAGGCAGAGCGTGTCGCCGGGGCCGCCGCAGCGACACGTGATGAAACAGTGCCCGACCGTCATCATACGCTTCTGGAGCTCCGCGCTGAATTCTTCGAACTCCCTGGCGGCCGCCTGGCGCACGACGCCGCCAGGGGGGTCAGTGCCGACCCAAGACGGCCGCACGGAGCTTCAGAAGCTTCTGCTGACCTGGTGTCTTGCCCGTTGAGGTCTGGCGCGAGATCGACGGCTGGTATGCAGTTAGGGGCGCCGACGGCGAGGCCGAGTACCGGCACCGCGGGACGGCGGAGGTGCGCCTCCAGCACCCGGTGGAGCTGCTGCTGCCAGCGCATTACATGCGCGTGCGCGGGGCCGAGCTGCTGAGGGACCCAAGCGTGTGCGAGCTGTGCCTGCCCGACGCCCCCGAGCAGTAGGGAGGGGCGCGTCGCTTTTTCCTCTCCCCGTCCTTGGTCTTGATTCTTCTGCTTGTCGTGCTCTTTCGTCCTCCTGGGTCCTCTCTTCTCTTTTGTTCTCTTCGTCCGCCCTTCTGCCTCCCACCGCCTCAATGTTACTCTCTTCCCTCTTGCCCTCCTATCTCCTTGTTCCCGTCTTCTCCTCTTCCTACTCCTCCTCTTCCTCATCCTCTTCCTCCTCCTCGTCCTCCTTCTCCTCCTCCTCCTCCTCCTCCTCCTCCTCTATCAAACTATAATTACCTTGTTTCTTCCACTCCTCCTCCTCCTCTTCGTCCTCCTCCATCCCCCTCCTCCCTCCTCCTCCTCCTCCTCCTCCTCCTCCTCCTCCTCCTCCTCCTCCTCCTCCTCCTCACCATCATCATCATCATCATCATCATCATCATCATCATCATCCTCGTCCTCATCCTCATCCTCTCATCCTCCTCGTCTTCTCCTTCTTCTCCCCCGCGTAAGTCGGCGGCGAGGTGACTTCACGCCTCTACGCACTACGCGCGTCTGCCTCCCCCCTTCTCCTCGCTCCGTCCTCGTCATCCTCATCCTTCTCAGCCGCTCCATCGTCCTCCTCCTCCTCCTCCTCCTCCTCCTTCTGCTCCTTCACCTCCTCCCTCCTCCCTCCTCCTCCTCCTCCTCCTCCTCCTCCTCCTCCTCCTCCTCCCTGCTCCCCCTCCTTCTTTTGGGGCACTCCTCCATCTCCTCCTCCTCCTCCTCCTCCTCCTCCTCCCCCTCCTCCTCCTCCCCTCCTCCTCCTCCTCCTCCTCCTCCTCCTCCTCCTCCTCCTCCTCCTCCTCTCCTCCTCCTCCCCCTCCTTCTCCTCCTCCTCCTCCTCCTTCTCCTCCTCCTCCTCCCCCTCCTCCTCCTCCTCCTCCTTCTCTTCGATGTTCCTCCTCCTCCTCCTCCTCCTCCTCCTCCTCCTCCTCCTCCTCCTCGTCCTCCTGCTCCTCGCTCCAACCCCTCAGGGCCCCTGGAGCCCTGGAGCAGCCCGAAGCTCCCGAGCCCAATCTCACTACCTCGTCCACCGTGAACCTCCGCGTTGCGGGCTCCACGGTTGAGGGGGAGCGTCGAGGAGCAGGAGGAGCAGGAGGAGGAGGAGTGGGAGGAGGAGGAGGAGCAGGAGGAGAAGGAGGAGGAGGAAGAGGAGGAGGAGCGAGTGGGGTCGAGGAGGAGGAGGAGGAGGAGGAGGACCGAGGAGGATCGAAGAGGAGGAGGAGGAGGAGGAGGAGGAGGAGGAGGAGGAGGAGGAGGTGTACCGAGGAAGCGTAGGAGGAATAGGAGGCGGAGGAGGAGGAGGAGGAGGACGAGGACCAGTGCAAAGCCAATATTCTCCAGCGACATTGCAATAAACCTTCTCCCTAGTCGTTTCTTCAATGACCCTTTACAAGGGTTCATGTTACTGTGAGAAGCGCCTTGTTGGAAGACAACTGCTTGATAATCCAGAATTGTACCAGAACGCTAGTCCTGCGACTTCAACGCCGCGAGTCACCGTTACTGTTGCATCTCAACGATCCTGAATTGTGTCAGAACACCACTCCTGTGACTTCAACACCTTGAATCAGCGTGACTGTTGCATCCTGACTTTCCGACACTGCTGCGAACTCTTAAGACGAATGTGCGCGGCGCTACAGGCGAGAGCCACATCTTGAAAAGGAGCCGCCCTCAATCCGTGAAGCTCTTACAACCATTGAAGACGAATGTACGCAGCGCTAAGGCGAGAGCCACATGTTGAAAGCGGGCATCCGTGAAGATCTTGCCAATGTTTCCAATGAGTGTACGCGGCGCCAGAGCGAAAGCCACCTTTTTGAAAGCGGGCCGCTATCCAGTCATGAAGCTCTTGCAACTGTTTAAGACGAGTGTTTGCGTTGTTCAGGCTAATACCACCTTTTGAAAGCGGACCGCCTTTCATAAAGTTCTTACATATGCGTAAAACGAATGCGCGCTGCGCCAAGGCGAGAGCCACTTTTTGAAAGCGTTGCGCACTCCGTCTGCACACCTCTTGCAAATTTGAAGATGAACGTTCGCAGCGCTAAGGCGAGAGCCACATTTTGAAATCGGACCGCCCTCCATCTTTGAAATTGCTGTTCATTTCAAGCTTCAGGACCATAGGTGGTGAGGAAACCTCAAGCGAAACGCCTGGCACGCCCTTTCGACCAGCCTCGGGGTGCGACAGGGAGGAGTTATGTATCAAGGAAGAGGGTTGGAGGACCGAGGAATACCGAGGAGGAGGAGGAGGAGGAGGAGGACGAGGACGAGGACGAGGACGAGGACGAGGACGAGGAGAAGGAAGAGGAGGAGGAAGAGGAGGAGAAGGAGGGCCGTCCTCTCCCCTCCCTCCTGGCCTCCACGGGCGTCTCGGAGTAGAGCAGCCACAGACCGGAATTTCCAGGGGAAGCGCGGGCAAACGCGCTTTGGGCGCGGCCCGCACGGCGCCTGCCGCTGCGCGATCGTGCAGGGGGCACGGTCGCCTCCTCCCTGCACCCCTGACTTGCACGCCTGATCGATCAGGAGAGGTCAGCCACGCGCAGAGGGGGGCAGGGGGAGGGGGAATAGCTTTTTAGAAGCACCCCTGCTTCGTAGAAGGCGCGGGCCTTGTTTGTAGATGCAGGGCCAGCACCTTCTAAGAAGCAGCCTCCTTCTAAGAAGCCTTCTCCCCTCCCCATACCCCCCTGTGCGCGCCGCCAAAGATTGGGAGACGGAGGATTTGCCTTGGCGCCTGGTCCCTGTCAGCCAAAAGGGTTTGTGTGTGGCCGAAGCAAAATAGTTATCGAGAACGTGCCCGAAGTGGTGGCCGAAAACGTAGTGTGGCCGAGATGAACTGAAATCGCATTGGCTTCGAACCAGCCGTTTCGGTCACACTCGGGCGCAGTCGGAAAAAATCGGGCGCTGGTTCCGGTCACACTCGGGCGGATTTGTCGGGCACGGTTTCGGTCAGGACACCCCCCTCATAGAGACGGGGTTGCGTGAGATTTAGGAGCGAGGGGGAGTACAAGCAGCAGAAGGAGGACAATGAGGAGGAAGAGGAGAAGGTTTTTGCCGAGGGTGTGGGTCGTGGTGGCTTTTGAGAGGTTTCTGTGCGTGTGTGTGTGTGTGTGTATGTGTGTGCGTGTGTGTGCGTGTGTTTGTGTGTGTGTGTGTGTGTGTCTGTGAGTGTGTGCTCATGTGTGTGCGTGTGTGTCTTAGACGCGCGCCTGCGGTTGCTGCTTTCCAACCTTCTACGCCCTGTCGCTGCGCGCAGTGCCGCAACGCCAAAGGGCCAAAGATGTGTGTGCGTGTGTTCAGGTGTGTGTGCGTGTGTGAGTGTACCTGTGGTCCCTACTGGTTTTCGGAGGGCTCTTGGAGATTTTTGGTGGCTCCTGTCTTTTTCGGTGGGCTGGGGTTCGGTGGGGTGGTGGGGACGAGGGCGAGGACGAGGGAGAAGAGAACAATGAGGATGGGTGGCTGTACAGTTCTGCTCTTGGGTGGAGTGTCTAGGGTATTATGGGGAAGTTCTTGTATGCTCTAATACAATCTAGGAGCAGGATGCGGGAGGAGGAGCATGCAGGGAGGAGGGTGAGGAGGCGTTTTTAGCGACGTGCCTTCGTTTTTGTTTCCGCTCGCGCGTCGTACTCTTGCGACCTTCTTGCGCCGCGACCCGATAGTCCGGCGAACCAGCCGACGTTGGACGTGACCCAGGTGTCCGCAAAACGAGCCTCCTGCTGCCCCCGCTTCGTTCTCCTCCTGGCGGCATCCGCAATCCCAAGTTGTGCGCACGCACTTCCAAAGGGCTGCGCGTATTTGAGGGTGTCCTGCCATCCTCGTGGTTCTCGCGATTGCCGAGGAAACGCCCACATGGATCAAGGCGCGCGGGTTTGCCACGGGCCCCTCCTTCCCCATACACGAGTGGTGCGCTCCGCCGCCAAAGCAGGCGGCACCGGCGTCATGCTTCGGGGGGTACTCTTCCCGATCCATGGATCTGGCGCTCGCTCGCCAGATCCACTCGCCAGATCCACGGATCCGTAGTCCATGTCAGCGTGTGCCCGATACTCACAGCCCAACACCCGTTCCGCAAGGATGCATCATTGCAATTGTACTGTTGCATTCCGTGGTGTTTGGCCCAACGCCGCGGCTGCTGCATCAGGATGGGCGGCCGAGGATCCTACGTCTTTGCCCGCATCCTCCGGCTGACCTTCGACCTGATCGCAGCCTCCTGGTCGAGAATCAGGGCAGCACTTAGTGGACCCTGAAAACGATGGGGAAGTGTATTCGGGTTCCGTTTTGCAATGTTTGTTTGCCAATTCTGTCGTTGTGTTTTTCCCAGTTCCGTCGTTGTTGTTGTTTTTGTTCAGGTTCCCGGCGATGATTCCTGCGCAGTGTGTTTCCGTTTCGGCGATCAGCGCCTGTTTGTTTTGCTTGTTTGAAAAGCTTGCTCATATTCAAGAGCCAGGTTTTCGGACACGGTGCAACAAGACCAAACCTGCCGTTCCCAGGGCCCACTGGTGGGCAGCGAGCATATTGCAGCCAAGCGACCATCACCTCGCCGAGCTCAGGTCGTGGAGGGCGTCAGGCAAGCAGACCGTGCCAGGCACCCGGGCACCTGAGCACTCAATGTTACCGGATGGCCGCGCGCAGAAGCGGCCGCACGCCGTCCTGCAGGAAGGGGGCCTCGAGGAAGACAGGCCCCGGATCCCGGTGTTGTTGACGGCTCTGGTGCTCCCAGAAGGCCCCAGGGTTCCCCAAAGGGAGAAAACATGCCAGGATCCCTTTTCCTCTGCGGCAGGTTCGTGGTCTGATGGAACCCCGCCGCGGGCGATGGAGGTTGAGCGCCGCCAGCGATTCGGAATCGGACAGTATGGAACGATCGGGCGATCGAAAAAGCGCAAGTCGGTATAGGCTGAGAAATCCACGCGGCGGCATGCGGAAGCAATTAGGGAACGCCCCACTTGCCCCCGAAATTCAAAGTTGGCGCGTCGGGTGACGACCGCTGCGAAGCGCAAGTCAGATCCCCCGCCATCATCGATCATGGGGGACGGGGAATCTGATGCGGCACCGGTGTTCGCTATTCGTTCTCGGCCCCTGGGTGTCAGGAGCCACCGAAGTCGCCACAACGTGAATCCGCCGTAGGACCCGTCTCCTTCCATCGAGGGCAGACTGGCCCCTAACCCTAACAATACGAAGAAGGCGTGGCCTCACTGCTGAGGCCCTCTTTTTCACATGGGGGCGGATACAGATGGGCGGCTCGGTTCGATGCATCTGCAGACAAAGACCTCCTCGTTCGGAAGCTGGAACGTATACATTACCAGTGGCGGGTTGTTTTTTTCAATCCCATGACTTTTTGAGGGTCGGGGGCGACGTCGGGGTGGTGTGGTGTACACTTGTCCCCCGTTTTCCGAGGGAAACAATGAACCATGTACACACCAGGATCCCGTGTGTACCAGGATCCGCGCTCCTGTGCGAATCTCAGCGCAGGGTCGGGAAAAGCGTCGGTGTATAGAGTTTGTTTCTTTACTTATCCCTCATGCTCCTGGCCCTCCTAAGGCAGGTCGCCTCCCGGAGGCTCAGGGGTCTTCCTGTGAACTCAGCCGGCCTTCGTGCCGAGCGAGACCCTCCCCGCGTCTGGCCAGCGCTTCGGGGGCGTGCGCGCTGGCCCTCCCTCCGCGTGCGCGTCCGGCGCCAGGCCCCGCTGCGTTCCCCCCCTCCTCCTCCCTCCTCCTCCTCCTCCTCCTCCTCCTCCTCCTCCTCCTTTTCCTCCTTTTCCTCCTATGCATTCGGTCAGTTCGAGTGTCTCCTCCTCCTCCTCCTCCTCCTCCTTTTCCTCCTTTTCCTCCTATTCATTCGGTCAGTTCGAGTGTCTCCTCCTCCTCCTCCTCCTCCTCCTCCTCCTCCTCCTCCTCCTCCTCTCCTCCTCCCCCTCCGCCTCCTCCTCCCCCTCCCCTCCCCCTCCTCCTCCTCCTCCTCTCCTCCTCCTCCTCCCTCCTCCTCCTCCTCCCTCCTCCTCCTCCTCCTCCTCCTCCTCCTCCTCCTCCTCCTCCTCCTCCTCCTCCTCCTCCTCCTCCTCCTCCTCCTCCTCCCTCCTCCCTCTCTCCGCGCTCCTCTGCCTTCCCCTTCGGCCCCCTCTCCTCCTCCCCCGTCCTCCTCCTCCTGCTTCCTCCTCCTCCTCCTCCTTCCTCCTCCTTCTTCCTCCTCTCGCATCCTTCTCTGCATTCCCTCCCTACCTCCTCCCCCCTCGGGCCTCCTCGTCCCGGGCTCCCGCTCATGCCCCATGCGTTTTCCTTCCTCCGCCCCTCCTCCTCCTCCTCCTCCTCCTCCTCCTCCTCCTCCTCCTCCTCCTCCTCCTCCTCCTCCTCCTCCTCCCCCCTACCTCCCTCCCCCCTCGGACTCGGAGCGGTTCCAGGCTCCCTCTTTGATCGGGCCACCTCCGAACCTGGATCGGACCCCCGTTTGCTCATCTCTCACCTCAGTGGTGCGAAGGCGCTTTCGTTGTCACGAACCCATAGCCGGCCGATGCCCTCCTCCCTTCCCTGCTCCTCCCTTCTCCCGCTGCTCTTCCCCCCTCCGCCTCGCGGAGGACCGGCGAATCGGAGCGCTGGAAGCCCAGGCGCGCCAGGCAGAGAGGGACCTGCAGGAGAGGCGCCCTACTCGGCGGGGCCGAGCGCGGCCCAGTGGGTCTCATCCTTGCTCCCTTCTCCCTCCTCTCTCCCTCCTCATCATCCACCCTCCTCGTTCTCCCTCATCCCTCCCTCTCCTCTCTCCTCCCGCCACTTCCTCCTAGTCCTCGTCGTCCCCCTCCTTCTCTCACCTTCTCTGTGTCGTCCCTCCCACGCATCCTCCCCCCCCTCCTCTCTGTCCCTCTATCCTTCCTCCTCGCTCTCCCTTCTCCGTCGTTCCTCCTTACCCCTCCTTCTCCTTCATCCTTCCTCTCTCCTTCCTCCCTCTCTCCCTCCCTCCCTCATTTTCTTCCCCCTCTCCCCCTCCCACTGGTGGGGGCCGATCCTGGACGGCGACGGCGACTGCGGCGATGGCCACAACGACGGCGACGGCAACAGCGACGGCCACGAAGGAGGCGCCGAAGCCAGCGACGACGGCGGCAACGACGACAACCACGGGGACAGCCGCGGTTTGTACGGACGACGGCGGCTTCGGTGACGACAGCGATCGGCAGGACAGTGGGGAGGATGGGAGGGGTAGGGGGGAGGAAGGTGAGGAGGAGAGAAGGAAGAGGATAAAGAGGCTGCAGGAAGGAGAGAGGAGGAAGAGGGAAGAACAGGAAGAGGGAACAGGTGGACGAGGAGGAGGAGGAGGAGGACGGGAGCAGGAGTGAGAGGGGGAGGGCCATCAGGAGGACGACGCCGACGTTGAGGAGGGCCAGGAGGTTGAGGAGCATCCACAAAGCATGAGGAGACAGAGAGGGAGATGCATGGTGAGGAGGAGGCAGGGAGGAGGATGAATGGGAGGACCATGTGGGCGAGGGACTTTCGATGTGGGGGGATGACAGGAGGGCGAATGAGGAGGAGGAGGACGACGACGACGACGACGACGAGGACGAGGACGAGGAACACGAGGACGAGAACGAGGACGAGGACGACGACGAGGACAGGAATGATGTCGGGGAGGAAGGAGGCAGGGGCAGAGGAGGGGGAGGCAGAGGCGGTGGGGCAGGGAAGAAGAGGGATAGCATGCAGGACAGGAGGGAGGAATACGAGTAGGAGGCAGCTGCAGAGGCAAAGGGAGAAGATGGCATGACAAATAATCAGGATGAGAGGGGGGCAGGAAAGAGGAGAGGGACGAGACGGAGGATCGTATCGTGAAGCGTCGCGCGCGAAGACCTTCAGAATACACGTGCCGAAGGTGGGCATGGACCGAGAGGGCGAGGGCTCGAATGCCCAAAAGGGGACCGACCGAACCGGCACACCGGGCCACCAGACTCTGACGATCAGCGGCCATTACATGGAAGCTCGTCTCATGAGGCGAAGTTTGTCATGCGATAGTTGCAGTTCTAGCGAACTTTACAAAACGTTTCATCATCATCCGTACCCAATCACCGGCTCAATATCCATCCGCAGGTATCGAGTGAGCGATGGCGCGACACGCTATCCATTTCCCGGTCCACGAGCGTCCACGCCCCGAGCTTTTCCGAGCCTCCCGCCCCACGGAGCGGAGCGACACGCTACCCGCTTGCAGGGCCTGGCGTGTCACCGGGGCCGCCGCAGCGACACGCTATCCCAGAGTCCCCCAACCGTAGGTGCTCGCTGGCGCGAGACGCTCCTCAGCAGGAGAGTCTGCACCATGCTTCGGGCAAAGGCCCGTGTGCCTTGGTGCGCACGTCTGTGGTGCCCAGAGGAGGGCGGGTGGGGTCCGCGCGGACCTCGGGAAATCTGTGGTTGCTTCTGCCGTTACATTCGGGGCCTTGTATATTTTTGTTATTTCTGTAAGAACATACTGCAGCGGCCTAAATTTGACCTATTTCACATCACCTATTTTTCTACATGTTTCATGCAATTAAACTGTTTCCTGGATTCTGAGGCTGTCCATTAGTAGCTGCCTTACAATCCTCCAGGGTGGTGCTGCGAAGAGCCCGTGCCCAGCCTTGCGCCGAGAGCGGCAGCGGCAGCAGAGGAGGTCGACAGGGAGTCGGAGACGCGTCGCCCGCTGCGCCGCGGCGTGGGCAGGCAGACCAGCAAGGGCGAGGGCGAGGGCGAGGGGA